TGTAACGTCTCGTGAAAATAGGCTTAATTTCTTGTCCGGCTCTAAGCAGCAGCGGTCATTATATTGCCTCCCTCGGGGGGCCAAGAGGCTCGGGTCCTGGTCTCCACACAGCTTTTGTGCTGGTCTAACTGTGATTTGTTATGGATACAGTTATACTGGTAGGGGCTCTAGTGTGGAAGGCAGTACAGCCTGGGCGAGTAGCCGAGCTCTCAGGAGTCTGTTGACACAAGGGGCACTAGGAATACTGTTGTATTACACCAGCAAAGCTCTCAGAGCTGTGCCAGCAAAGCTGCACTTCGCACTAGTCTAGTGACACGAGTGACTATGTCTACACTCCAGATTTCTGTCACCTCAGCTATGTCGGTCACCTCTTCATGCCCCTGACCAACCTAGCTGTGCCCACAGAAGTCTGTCCTTTCCCTCCCCCAGGCTGCTTTGTTGGGCAGTTATTTCTGCTGCTATACCTGGGCCGCAGCACAATTGCAGTGCTGGCTTCAGTCTGCACCCCTCTCTCCTGGGAATCATTGACTCCAAATATGGAGTTAATTAACACTTGTGGCTGTTTCTTGATGTCTGTGGCTGCAGAGGGTGCTGCTGTCTGATTCAAAGGGAGAGTGGCCTTTTTTCCTGAGGTTTCATCAGACTGCAAAGAATTAATGAGGACCCAGGAAATGCAGCTCCCTTTTGTGATGACCAGGCAATCAAAGACCTCCAGTTAGCCGTTAAATTGTCTGTGTTAATTTAAGAGCAATTAAAACAATTTCCCATATAAGCAAAATCTTCAGCAGAATTTACCTTATGTCTGGTTTGAAAATCTCTCATTTTCTATTAATTCTAATAATTTCCCATATCACCCCGTAGCTGCATTGTTAACTTTTTTCTCTGGGTGTAAATAGTTTAATGATTACACATTTTTAAGTTTGACTGATTTATTTCTCTTTGTAGCGAATAAAGTATGTGGCCCCCCCCTCCAGTTTTTGTGAGAAGGGTTTTAGAGAGTAATATAGACCTTGATTCCAACTTTCCTACCAGGGTTTATGGTTGACCATTAACACTAGTCCCACCGAGGGGCAGAACTGTGTTATTACACTGCAGTTTCTTTTAAATGTCTCACGGTTCCTAATCCACTTCTTGCTTTGTCCACCCCAATTTGTTCATATAATTGGTAGTTTTTGCTACACTGTCCTGTGGTTGCACTTCTCATATATAAATTTATATATAAATCCCATACTTGAACCTGGCCTTTCTGGGTCTCTCTGAAGCATTTGTTCTATTACGTAGTTAATAAAATCTTTGGTTTTTGTATCTGTTTTTAGAGGCAGGTTCCTGTGAAATTGCCTGGATGATGTTCTGAGGGGAATGGGCCACTGACCCAGCTACCTTCCAAGATATTCCCATCCAGTTTTTTTTGCTTTGAGACAAATCTGTACCACTTCAGGGACATGGAAAGAAATATTTGCCTAGCCTAAAAAAGTCCTTTGGAATTTTCAGGACTTTGATTTTACATGGCAAATAAACTATTCTTTCTCCTTGTAGTGAACGCCAACTCCCCGCCTTTCTCTCACACACGTGATCTTGTCTAAAAATTCCTCCCAAGACTGCTCTGTTCGTGTTTGCCATCTATTTTCTAGTTCTCTGATAGATGTTTATCTTCTGATACTGGTTTCCATACAATCTGTTGTCTGTTTCTACTACATAGATAACACCCGTGCATTGTAGATAGCCTGGTAATATTGTAGATTGATGGTCAGATTCCAGAGGGGACTATTAGGACCATCTAGTAAGACCTCCTGCATAACACAGGCCAGAGAATTTCACAAGTTGATGCTTGCATCAAGACTGTAACTTCTGGCTGAGCTGCAGCATCGCGATGTAAAGACTTCAAGTAACAAAGAATCCACCACAACCCGTGGTTGTTCCAGTGCTTAATGACCCTCACTGTTAAAAACATGTACCTTATTTCTAGTCTGAGTTTTTCTTGCTTCTAGCCATTGAATCTTGCTATGCCTTTGTCTGCTAAATTACTGAGGTCTCTACTATCAGAAATTATTATAAAGCTTACTCAAGAATTTAACACTCCTCATATAGCTACGTGAGTTGAGGGAGGGGAGAGACCCAAGGTCTAGATTAATCCCCTCCCAAACTGTTAATATTTAAGGTTTATCTGCTCAGGGAATTAGGAACGGAACACAGAACTCACAGTTCTTGATCACTGGTTTAAATCTGCCCAGTGTCAGTAATGACCAAAAGTAGTGACCCTCTGACAGATGTCTGGCCAGTGAGTTTTGAGGGGTCTTGGCCTTGTTTCTGGTAGGCAGGTATAAAAAAATAGCAATACCATTGGCATGTTGACCCCTTTGTTGGGAGCCTCAGCAGAGAGGACGGTGACTGAAAGCACTATGGAGAGTGATTGTCCCTCTAAATTCCACCCATGCTGCACTGCTCTAGGGGAAAAAGGCTTTTACTCTCCAGTAGTGTCAAGCTGGCATCTTTCAGCAGCTCTGTTCTCATGTAGGGCCTGATCCAAAGCCCACTGAAATCAACGGGAGCCTTTCAATTGAAAGACTTCAGTGGGCTTTGGGTAAGGCCTTGGAGAAAAACAATGAAAAAGGGAGAAAATTGAACAGCAAGCTCCCAAAACATGTCCCTTTCCCAGCCTTTGGAAGCTAAAAGCCAGAGCAGCTGCTGCTAAGAACCATTACAAGCAGCAGTGCGCAGCAACTTTAAGTTTCAAATCACTAGGGGGAGTGTAAAACATGAGGGGAGAGGCTGGAAACCTTTACAAAGGTTAAGGAATTAGAAAGCCTGTTTCCCCTCCTGCAGGCTTCCCTGAACCTGCCCCTGAGGTGTCTCTTCTAGAGCCCCACTCACTCAGGGAACTGTCTGTTAAAAAAACAAAAGAAAATGTGAATTCACATTACTTCTCCCTAGTTTCACGTTTTAGAGACAAAGGAGAGCTGGAAAATTTGTTTGGCCTTTGCTAAGTGCTTCTGAAAGGTGCAGCCAGACAGATTGGAAAAGGAATCTGCCAGTTTCTTTCAGGAGTGAAATTGTCCACATAAAGGAGAGGCCGTGAAGACTTTTTTAGGCTGAAAGTAAAACTGAACTGCTGCCAGGGAAATTGCTGTGGACTCCTGACTTTTGTAACCTCCTTCCCCCAAAAGCAGGAAGAAAATAAGGGCCTCTTGTCTACATACGGAGAATTGCTGAAAATGTTTACAGGTGTAACTACAGCCCTCTTTATTATTAATGTAATTCACAACAGTGTAACTGCATTGACGCTCTCCCTTTGTCTGTATCCATCTACTGTCTCTTGTCTTAGATCTCTGGGGCAGGGACCATGCTTCTGTTCTGTATTTGTACAGTATCTAGCACAATGGGGTCCTGGTCCATGACGGGAGTTTCTAGACACTATAGTAATACCAGTTGAATACAGATGTGCTGCATTTGTATAAAGTGGGGCTTACACCAGTTATTTACTGGAAAATCAAGTGGAGTTAAACCCTGCTTTGCATCAGTGCGGCCTGTATGTCTTCATTGGGACTTTGTATCCATGTATTACCTGCATTATCCAGCTGATACTGTCTTTTATTGCTGCCAAATTTTCTAATGTTGACCAGCCCACGGAAGGGAAAGTCAGCCAAAGAAAGAGAGTTAGGAAAAATTTCTGTATGAGCATTTCTTTGTTAAAGTCAAAGTATCATGCATTTTTTGGATGACAGATCCAAGGTGGCTGCTTTTTTTACACCATCTTGCATTTCTTCTGCAATCTGTCATCCAAAGTGCAGAGCATTACATGTGCTGAATAGCATTTTGGATGAAATCAACATATAAAAGCAGCTTGTTGTGATAAAAGAAAATAGTGCTGCTCTGACTTAATGCTTTTTGCTTTTACAGAGCGTTGACTTTAGTTGTACTTTGCCCGTTGGTGAAATGTAGGCTATGCAAGTAGGACATGTTATATAACAGTAGTACATTGCACTTGGATTTCCTTGTGCTTTTGCTGAAAGTGCAGTAGGGTGTTGTCATAATTCTTTAGGAGGAAGGCAAAAGGTAGTGTTAAAGGTACAGTCGTGGGAGTGAGTGGCATGACAGTACGTGCACCCCTTCAAGGCTACCCAGAGGGAGCTCTTAGCTGCTTCCACCTTTCCATATACTAGACATGATGGAATTCCTTTCTCTGGTAAATCCAGTGCGGATCCTTTGGTCTCTAAATGCTGGTGTACTGATTAGAGCTGGCCGGGGAAATGGAAATCCCTCTCTGTGAAAAATTTCACCTTTTTGAAAATGTTTTCTCTTGAATGGGGGTGAAAAGTCAAAAACGCAACAGTTGTTTGCAGGAAGAGATATCTAGAAAAAATCCTTTTCTGGAGGATTGAAATGGAGTTTTCCAGCTTTCTAGCTGCCCCCGCCTGCTCTCAGTGAGAAACTACAATTGACAAGAGCCTTCCAGCCTACATCCCTAGGCTTTGCCTGTCTGGCCGCTGGAGCTGAGGGAGTAAGGTGACCAGATGTCCCAATATTAGGGGCTTTGTCTTACAGAGGAGCCTAGTACCCAGCCACCCCACCCAACGTCCTGATTGTTCACACTTGCTATCTAGTCAGCCTAGGGTGGGAGGGGAGGCTGAGCACTGGGGCAGCGGGGGAGTTGTTGTCGTGATTTTCTGGGCGGAAAATTAGGGGTGGGTTTTTTTGGCAAAATTGCAGGTTTCTCATGGAAAATGATTTTATGAAAGGGTCGGTTTCCATCTGAAAAACCATTGCCATGGCCTGCTCCCAGCCCGTTGCAGTGGTGATCCATCCGCCCCTGCTTTGTAACCCTCCCCGTGTTAAGAGGTCACCCCCACACCCTCAGTCCCTCTCCTTTCACAGCCCTGTCCAGCTGGTCTCTTATCACGGGCTGCAGAGCCGACTGCGCAGGCTCTGAATGCTGCGGACGCAAGGACTACAGCTTCCAGCCTGCCTCACGGCCGCTCGGCGACTCTGCTAGGGGGCCGCGCGGCGCAGTGGCTGCTGGGAGTTGTAGTCCCTCGAGGGCAGTGGCGACTGGCGAGCCATGGCTTCGGCGGGCAGCAGCCTCGGCGGGGGGGAGGCCGAGCGACCGCACCCCAGGCCCTTCCTGATCGGGGTGAGCGGAGGCACCGCCAGCGGCAAGGTAGGGGCCGCCCCCGGGACGGGGCTGGGCCGGGGCCGGGGCGGGGGAGCCCAGGAACGGCCCCGATCAGGGCGCAGCCTGTTTCCTGCCCGCCCCGGCCGGGAGCCCATGGGTGCGATGAGTGTGGCCGGTCTCAGCTCAACCATGGTGCCTGCGGGCTCTGTGCGGGGGCCACGGGTCCATACAACACTGCAGGGGGTGCCCAGTCTCCGCCCCACAGAGCCCCTTGGCACCCTCCCCAGGGATAGCCAGGTACGCCCCTAGGGGTGCTGTCCTCCCCACCCACGGGGGCATACTGTCTCGGTGCTGGGGACACCTGTGCAGGTGAAGGCCCCTGAGTGGGTGGGGAAGGTCTAGCGCCAGGGTCTTTTTGGTGGAGCCCCACATCAGTTTTGCAGCACGGTGGGTCCCTGTCTACGAGGAGGATACCCCTGACGTGATGATTTTCTGGGGGAGGGTTTGGGTGCCATTTGTGGGATTCCCAGACTCCCAAGTGAAAGGAGTTTGTTGTTTTCGTCTCTGGTTGCATATAGATCAGCCTCTAGAGGCGGAAGCAGGCCTCCTGGGGGGTCTATCCCCAGCACTGTCACCAACTTGTGTGGCTTTGGGCAAGTCACTTCACGCATCTCTGTTCCCCAATCTGCCAGGTTGGGATATTTGTAAAGTACATTTGTTCCAAAGTATCATCAGCATTATTATTAGAGACCAGAACGTCACACCTACTTCCCTTCACCATCTGAGTGATCCTGGCTAGCACAAACGGCTCAAGCTCATGGCAAAATGAGACATGAGAAAAGGGCAGGTGCTTTAAAAGACACAGGCTTCCATACTTCAGCAGCAGTTTTCTTCTCTCTTGCCACAGTTGCGTGAGGCAACATTTCTGACATCAGTGATTTACCATGATAAAAGTGAGCACATACCAAAGCTGAAGGTAAACAGGGATATAAATGAAGTGCAGTTCTCATAGCAAGCTCAGCAAACTCCCAAGTGGGTTGGAACCAGAAGCCTTAGCGAATGAGCCTCCCACACACCCACCAATCTCTCTCTCTGATTTGCTTGTCCATGCATAATCTTTATTTTGCAGTTACCTTGTCCTGGGAGAAGAGATGTTTGTTGGGGAAGGATGATTTGTGTAAAAGGTAGAGGATTGCCTAACAGGAGATGCAGAAGGAACCTGCACTTTGCTCTCAGCACAAATATTGACCCAGCCCAACTCCACAGGTGACCCCCCCACTTTGATTGAGGGATGGAGCTGAGGAAAAGCCACTGTTTTGTCTGGCCTCTGTGAGTACATCTGTACTGCAGCTGGGAGCAACCTCCCAGCCCAGCTGGGCAGACGCAGGGTGGCTCAGGCTAGCTGCCTGAGTCCAAGCCCCTGGTCTGAGCTCAGGTCACTGGCTTGAGCTGCTCTTGTTAGCGCACTAATTTAAGCAGACTGTTTGCAGAGTCTGTTTCCCCAGGCTCGAAGGCTTGCTCCAAGCTGCAGTTCAGCAATACTCTGTGTGGTGTGCTCACTCTCTGAGAAACGGTCTTTTAGTTAGGGCAAGATCCAGTTATAAATGTTATGTCTGAGAACCCTTTTCCCAGCTCTTTTCAATGTACACAACCTATTCCAAGCTCTTTTCTTTGTTGGGCTGTCAGCACATGCTTTCTCCAGAGAAACTAAGTTGCCAAGGAGGGAATGTCAACTTTAATGGACTGACAGAATGATCTAGTGGTTGGAGAAAGGGCCTTGGAAGCTAGAAACAACCACCACAGGGATAGTTCTCTGAAAACACTGGCTCAATGTGCAGCGGCAGTCAAACAGAATGTTAGGAACCTTGAGGACAGGGCTAGATAATAAGATAGAAAATACCGTATTGCCGCTGTATAAATCCATGGTACACCCACACCTTGCATACTGTGTGCAGTTCTGGCTGCCCCATCTCAAAAAAGATATATTAGAATTGGAAAAAGTACAGAGAAGGGCAGCAAAAATGATAAAGGGTATGGCACTGCTTCCATACCAGGAGAGAGTACAAGGCTCGGCCTGTTCAGAAAAGAGGACTGAAACTGTTGGAAAAGAGACAGTTAAGAGGGGATATGATCGAGGTCTAATCATCAGCAGTGGAAAGAAAGTGAATAAGGAAGTGTTATTTACCACTTCACATAACAAAGGAACCAGGAGTTATCCAATTAAACTAATATGTAGCAGGTTCAAAACAAATATAAGGAAGTGCTTCTTCACACAGTGCCCAGCCAAAAGTATAACTAGGTTAAAAAAAGCATTAGTTAAGTTCAGGGCAGGTAGATTCATCAACCGCTATTAGCCCAAATGGTAAGGGACACAACCTCATGCTCTGGGTGCCCCTAAACCTCTGACTGCGAGAAGCTGGGATTGGACAAGAGGGGATGGATCTATGGCTAATTGCTCTGTCCACACTTCTGAAGCACTTGGCGCTGGCCTCTGTCAGAAGACAGGCTACTGGGCTAGATGGTCCATTGGTCTGTGGCCATTCCTATGTTCTTAAGATGCACCTTGGTTCTAGTCCATGTTCTGTTGCTGGTTTACGTGGCTGGTTACTTAATCTCTCTGGGCCTCAGGTTTGCTATTTGTAAAATGGGAATATCTCACAAATCTCTTTCTCCCCCTGCCTCCCCTGCCCTCAGGTAGGCAGACATGATGAATAAATGTTTGTAAAGCATTTCTGGAGAGATGGCGCTCTAGCATTACAAAGTAGCATTGTGTATCGGATACCTAGGAAACCTCGAATACTACAGGGATAGGAGCCTCAGAGAAGCTCAGACTTAGAGGCTATAGCAAAACCTAAATTGAGTCTTCCCAGCACAGTGAGTGGCAGGTCTGGAATTAGATTTGTGAACACAACCTTCCTTGAGACGGCTGCCATGGCTCTGTTCACCTAAAACTGTATCTCGGGAGCTCAGTTCCACTCCATAATCTCTGTGCCCCCTTGAATGCATTCTTCTGCCCCATGTCCCTGACTGCTTCTTGCAGCAGGCTGTAGCTACATCTCTCCTCTTTAAAGCTCACTACAGCCTGGTGGATGGGTTTTGAATTTGTCAGGAGAGGCGATATAATGAAGTGTTTAAAGCACAGGACTGGGTGCTGGCTCTGACTTGTGTTTGGGGGGAGGGGGAGAGAGGTAGGCGCCCCTTAATCTCTGCCTTGTTTTGTCCACTATAAAATAAGGCTGGTTCTTACCCACCACCTCCCAGGACTGCTGTGAAGTTGAATGTTGGTGAAGTCCTGATGGAAGGTGCTGCAGAGGGTGGTTGTTTGTGACTGACGCTTGTTGTTCCTCAGTCCACAGTATGTGAGAAGATCATGGAGCTCCTGGGACAAAATGAGGTGGATCATCACCAACGAAAGCTCATCATTCTGAGCCAGGATAGGTTCTACAAGGTCCTCACTGCAGAGCAGAAAGCCAAGGCATTGAAGGGACAGTACAACTTTGATCACCCAGGTAAAGCTTTCCCCACCCCCACTTCATGTTTGCCTTTGAGGAAGGAGGAAGTGTATATAGGGAAGGACATTGATGGGAGACTGGAAGGGCAAAATAGCTACTGCTCTTAGCTTCAGCAAATACCTCAAAGCTCCTCACTGTGAGCAATGGGGGTGGGGGTGCGAGGTGCTTTCCATGCAAATAAAAAGACCGGTCCCTGCTGCTGGGAGCTTACAGTCTCATTAACCAGTCTCTGTCTGTTCTGCCACAGCTCTGCTCTGTGTGGTGTTTAGAAGAGGGTCTTTCCAGTGTGGTAGCACCAGGAATCAGAGCTTCCCGCAACCTATTGCGAGACATTTGCTGTGCCGGGAGGGAGCCAATTCTAAAGGAATACAGAGAAAGTATTTCCTCTGGGCACATTAGTTAGAAGAGCCAGCAGAAACTGATGCTTCCTTTAAGCATAATGAGATGGCCCCTCCCACCTATTCCAGTGGGAAATCTCAGCGTTCCTAAGGGGTGGCCTTCCTGAGGCTCCGATGAGAGGGTCCGGAGCATAGAGCACAGCACTAGGACTCAGAGCTAGGAGCAGGCCCTGGATCTTTTACCACTGCCTTTCTGGGTGACTTTGGGCAAGTTACTGCTCTCTGCTTATTACTGTAGCACCTCTCAGCCCATCATGGACCAGGACCCATTGTGCTAGGTGCTGTACAAATGTGAAATAGATGGTCCCTGTCCCAAAGAGTTTAAATGCTTCAGTCATCTGAAAAGGGGCATAAGCCTGACTTAGTGCACGGTTTAATTATTGTTTGTAAAGAGCTTTGAACATGCAGCATGCAAAGTATTGAACACCCCCAACTCTGGGTATTTGGGTTCCTGTACATCAACCCCACGTGAAAGGGAGGGAGAACGGCAGTGGCAGTTAATAGGGAAGAAAGAACAAAATTAATTTCCAACCGAGTTCTTAGAAAAACTGTACAGTGTCCTCATGTTGTGAGTGGTGCCTGTGTTGTTGCTGGAGTGAGATGCCATCATACTGTTGCTTTGCAGTGGGAGTTAACATAATGCTGTCGGTCTGTGGAACATTAATGCTCACATGATGCTTGATCACCTCCTGGTTTCCAGCTGCTAAAATGCATTAAAAGAAGCTAAGAACACATCAGATACTTTCCTAATATATTTATTTTCTATGTAAGCAACAGCTGTCCTTGCCCCAGGGGTGTTACATGATTGCAAATGGGAGACATTCCCTGCACTCCATCCTGGTCAAAAGTGGAAGAACACCTGCTGTAGGTTAAGCAGCACTGCTCACTCTTTTCAAAGGCAGGACAAATCTATAAGACTTTCCAAACCGTAATTCTGTTTTGGTTTATGTTCATTTAACATTTTTTTGAATTAGCTAGAAATAAAATGCAAAAAATGTACGATTTGTCCTTTCGCCTGCTGAGCTGTAGTTGCCATGTCCATCTGTAAACTACCAGGCAGTCCAGACGGTAGCTTTTATGGCTGTTTGGATTAGTCTTCATTTCTGTGTCTAAGATACTTGGTCCCTGGATGCAGGGATTACAATATCTTTGGGATTATGCAGCAGTTTTCCTTTAACATTACTTAGGGAGTGGATTGCTGTAGATAGAAAAGAATAAGCCAGGAATATCCTCCCTCCCCTACTTCCTGGGTCTGGTAATGTCAGACAGAGGAATGGTGGTAGACTTAAATCCTTCAGTACCAGAAAAGACTGGCAATAGTTTGGTCATAACAACACCTGGGCTGCGTCTCTTTATGCCTTTGTCTTGCAGGTGCTTTTGATAATGATTTGATGCACACAACCCTGAAAAATATTGTGGAGGGAAAAACTGTAGAGGTGCCAACTTATGATTTTGTAACCCATTCCAGGTAAGTCTCAGTTCCTAACATCTTCCACACAGTGCTTGGCAGAGTCAGTGGGGGCTGCCTTGTCTCCCTGGCCCACCCTAGCTGAATGCATGTGGTCTTGTTGCAGAGGGCTGGCGGGAGCAAGAAGAGGTGGGACTGGGTTAGCCGTGTTTAATGGAATGGAACTGCACGTTAGCATTCAGTTTGAAAGCCACTTTGCAATTTGTTTGAGAGCCACTTTGCAATTTGTTTGAGACTTTGTCCATATACCCTCGGCAGGTTGGCAGAGACAACAGTGGTCTATCCTGCAGACGTGGTTCTCTTTGAGGGGATCCTGGTATTCTATAACCAAGACATTCGGGACATGTTCCATCTCCGACTCTTCGTTGACACAGACTCTGATGTCCGGCTGTCCCGCAGAGGTAATACCCTGGGCTTCTGCTCCATTATCAGCCCCCTGCTTGCCTTGTGGCAGTCGTCACTATGAATACGCTAAAACTCACTGCCCCTTGTTTTTCCCTCTGCCCCAGTTCTTCGAGATATGAAGCGTGGGAGGGACCTAGAGCAGATCCTGACTCAGTACACAACCTTCGTCAAACCTGCCTTTGAGGAGTTCTGCTTGCCGGTACCAAGCTTTTCACTTGTTTGATCAGACACATTTTAAGGACCTGGAGAGGCAGTGACAGCTATTTATACTGTAGCTGGAGAAGTGGGGCTAAGGCCCGCTGATTGATATAAACCATATAAAATCATAGCTGCTTGAAGCAAAAAGCAATGTTTATTTAAGATCCTAGTGATCAGATTAAATCTTTGCATTGTATTTAAAATAAAATTCCCAGTAGTTTAACCCATGACAGTTAGTTCTAGATATTAAACAAACTATTGAGCCTTCCAGCCTGTCTCCCTTTCATTGCAGACAACACAACAATTTGGTGTAGCTAAGTTTGGCTCAGATGTGAGGTCCTACCCAGCATGCCATGCATTGTAGTGTTGGAACCTTCCCAAAGTGTGGCCACTGTTGTGCTATTTACACATCTTTGTAACACAGGGGTTATGCTGAGTGACTCAATGGTTTAAAAACAGGTCTGTTGCACTCAGGATGTCCTCTTTGGCTGTATGCCATCTCTCCTCCCTGCTTCTCACCTGAGCTGCCCTCTCAAAGACATGTCATGGTTGTTTTCCAGGATGCTTTACAAGCAGTGGCTACTTACAGTGCTGTATGAATGGTTTTTTTGATTACTGCCATGGGTATTCTGGCTGACATGCCCAGCCTTTCATGTATGTAATAGAAATTGGTTTCTGTTGACTTTGACCACTGCAGTATGACCTATGGGCAGTGCTTCCCTTCCCTCCTGCATGTAACTGTACAGGAGAGAAGGAGGCTGCCAGTTTAGGTGACCATATAAATAAATGTGTTAATGCTTAAGAATGAAAAACAACTATTTTTACTTTGATCTAGTAGGAGGTCTGGTCTTTAACATAAGTGCAATCAGCATCCCTACTAGGAAGTGCCTTTTTATAAAAAGTAGAGGTTATAGACGGATCAGAGACAGGCAGCTTGTAGTGTTCTGATTAGAACGAATTCTAACTGGATTGACCTGCTTTTGTTGTAGACAGTCAGGCTATGCTGAAAAAGGCTCAATGAAGGTAACGTCAGCCTCAGGTCACTGGAGTAGTATGAGAGGAGTGCTTTTAGTATAGAGGCAACTAGTCCCAACTGCAGTCACCCCTGTAACATTCAGTTGATCAAACAGACTTATAGATACTACTACAATGGAGGAGTGCAGCTGTGGGCTCCTTTTTCAGATCTGGGGATAGTGGTAATCATCATTGTGAAACACCAAGCCCTACTGTTGTTTCTTATTTGCAGACAAAGAAGTATGCTGATGTGATTATTCCTCGTGGAGTCGACAATATGGGTAAGGGACATTTAATTGAATTCTGCACATGAAGTCAGATTCCCCAAATTCTCCTACTGCACACTGTTGTAAAGTGTAGATAGACTCTGATATGGATTATCCCTGACTTTTTCTGAACCAGGACTATAGGTTTTAGAGACTGGCATTATGTTGTTAGGATTTGACCGTACTACAGTGGCTCCAAATGCAAGCGGCAGCATTGCAATGACGAGTAGCTGGTTCACACACTGAATCAGACTGGGCTGTTTGTTCCACTATTTATTTTGAGCAGGTGTCTGTTCTTTTTGCAGTTGCTATAAACCTCATTGTGCAGCACATCCAGGACATTTTGAATGGAGACATCTGCAAGTGGCAGCGAGGGGCGATGAATGGGCATGGTCGGACATACAAGCGATCGTTCCCTGAGCAAGCAGAGGGCAGCACCATGCTGATAGCTAGCAAACGATCTCATCTGGAGTCCAGCAGCCGTCCCCACTAACCAGGTTGGGGTCTGAAATTGCCACCTCTGTTCCAGACCAATCTTTTTAACAAACTGGTTTGTGACATGCCCGTAGCAGCTTAGGGGCAGATTCAAGAGGTAGGTATGTGTCTTCTCACAGAGGAGAGGAAGGAGCTGGACTATTGACCCTGCCCCTGGTGTTAGATGGCATTGTGTGCTGTAAACCCAGTGGGGTATAGGATACTTTATCTCTGCTCATGGTGCTTTTTCCTTGGAGCAAAGAGCCTTGTTTTTAAACAAGCAGGTCAGATTCCCAGCTTTCCCTTCTGTCCATGGCAAGGCCAGACCTGTGGAGAAGAAACTGACCTCTCATTGGCACAACTGCCAAGAAGTCTATTTTACTCAGGGCTGAGGAAAATTAGGCTTCTCTTGGGCAACTTACAAAGCAGCAGTGGGGCTCCATCATCTCGTTGAGGTGTTTTGTTACTAGCCAAGCTACACTCCATGTAGCATAGGCTGACCTTGGAGGACACTTCAGTACTGACTGGGTGCAGACATGGTTTGTAGTTCTCATTCCTTCCCCAAAGCAGTGTTAAAGCTCAGGCATTCAGCCCATGAGTAGTTCCAGCAAAGCTTAGCGTGGCATCCTAACATCAAACACCAATTGGTACCTACTATCTGTCATGTATACTCTGTAAATGCAGGCTTAAGATTAGCAGGAAGAATTGGTTATTATTGAAGATGAACTTTTTTCATCTCTTATAAAAGCAAAGCCTGACTCGAGTGGTTGTGCTGCTCTAATTAATAAACCAATGAAGAAACAACAGCCACATGAATGTAACCATTTTATATTAAGTATTTTCATACACCCCTTCTCCCCCCCAGCCCAGACATACTCACTAGGGGTGTCTAAACAGCACAGGGAGCAGGAATGAGCAAACAAATCCCTGTGTAATCTCCTCTCAGCCATATAGCTGTGAGCTCTGTGTGGAGGTTGTTAGTTAAAGCTTCAGTGAAGTGTCACTAGGGTCTCCCTTGAATGCATCGTGTCAGGTATGAGTCTCTTTCCTCCAAAGGTGGCAGCCTTGAGCAGCAGGCTGGTAGTTAGAACATGAGGAAGTGCTATAGTAAAAAGATCAGTCTAGGCACCTGTTCTACACAATGCAGCTAATCTATAATACTGTAGATTTGCAATGAGACTAATTCATGCTATAGAGGAGAACAAAAACTGAGTCTTACCATTACATCATCTGCCTAATGGGGATTGAATTCTTGCCGACATAAATTACAAGGCTTTTTACCTTAAACCCCTATCAAGAAATGAGAGCAGAGTTACTTGTAAGCATGATCAGTTCTATCTTGACTGGCTCCACTAGTGTGTGCGGATCAAGATGTCCCAGCTTTCCTTCCAGCGCAGGGCCCTCAGCTCAGCTGCTGAGAGGGTAGGCTCCCCATAGGTCAGTGGGCTGAATGTGCGATAGACCAGGTAAACGGAAGAGAACCAGGCTACCATCAAGGCACTGAACGCGTTCTTAGGGAGTTGGGATCTGAGAGAGAAGGAAATGAAGTTAAAGCAAAGCTATCCACATATTCTAATAGCAAGAGACTAGTGTAGCAATTTGGAACTTTGCACTCTGTTACCTGTGAGAAATGGAGACCCCAGGAAACAGGGCTCCAATTTAACATGTAGCTTGCCTGGCTCTGTACAAGCATTAACTGAGTAATTCTCCCCATGCCCCTCTGGGAGGCAGGGCAGCATTATTACAGATTGGACATAATGCAACGTGCCCAAAGTCAGTGCTGGAGCTGGGACTAAGAACCCCATCATTTCACTACCTTCCCCCCCAATAATTAGAGCTGCAGGTCACCCTAAGGGTGTCCTGGGTACCTGCAGAGATGATCAGTCAGATGCTGCAGTACAACAGGAATCAGGAGAATTTGGAAAGTGAGAGCAGGCAGGTAGTGGTACAGGAAAAGTGTCTTCTCCATCATGAAAAAGGGAAGGTAATTCACAGCCCAGCCTCCCACGCAGAGTCCTCCAGCTGATACCCAGAGCCTCCATGCATCTACAAGACAGAAAGGGTAACACTAATCAGGACTCCTACCAAACACCCTGGAAACTAGCAATTGCAAGGACAGGGGGGGAAATGGCTAAATAACATTTCCCTAGCCACTCTGGCCAAAGGTTACGCTGTGTAAAACTGTCCATAGAATGTGTAGTGGTCATGCAGAGCAGATAGGACCTGTCTGTATAAGGGCACCTCTAAAATACCCATGGCAGGTGAGGTCTGATGGGATTCCAAATCTGATCCTTTGAGCATTAAAGCATCCAGGAAATGCAGAGTAATCTCCCAAAGAGACTATGGTGCCCTGCAATAAAAATTTCTATCAGGAGAGCGCACAGCTCATCGAGCTAACCAGGGGAAGTCTCTAGTTCTTTGTCCATAGACAGTCTGTCCCATCAAGAGTATCTGAACCCCAACTAGAATTCTCACAGTGGCTATGCAGCAAGGTGTCAAACTACTCTGTACAGGGATACTTCTGTGGTTAAGGGATCAGACCTTCAGGGATGTCACAAATCTTCCTCCGTCGTCGAAGCAAATACCACAGGAACAGACACACATATACAAGAGTTGCAACATTAGCTGAAGCCCAGGTGAGAACATTCCCAATGAGGTGGATCTGAGCCTGTAGATAAGAGGTGGAAAACTGCAGTGATTTTTTACTACAGAGAGAAGCCAAAAATCAATTATTACATAGCTGTATACACCCGAATCCAAAAACTCAGAATTTACCTGACGAGAGCTGTGGCAATCCCCTGTCCATCTGGCTAGTGACTGGGGCTGCTGTATTATTTCATAATTCATTTTTATATATGGCATTTGAAAGAAGCTGTCTGTGATGGACTGATACTCTACACTGGATCAAGTGAATATTAAATTGCAATTTTCCTTTAAAGGGTTAGCAGAAGAGAGTTATTTACTTAAAGCTGTCAAAAACTGTATCAAGTGCCTAAAGAACTCTCCAGTTTACTTTTCTACTGTTGAGCAGCAGGTTATACCAACTGTCCTATCTGGCATTGTAAGGAACATTGTGGGAGGGGGAAAGGAAAGCTTCTATTAAAGTGAAGTGTTTGTTTTACTAGAGAAGAAAATTATTTGATTTGAAACTCACAACAGGTTCCTACCCACCACTACCCGTAAGAGACATCCTTGAGGAGACACCAGGAGAATAGAGCCTGATCTCTTTCAAACATTCTCACCCCTTTAATATCTTCCATTTCAGACTTCACATAATCCAAATAAGCAAACCAGACTTAATACATGACACACATACTTACACCGGAGATAGGGTGGAACCAGTAAGCGATGTTTGTATCCATAGTGATCCAGTCTAGGGGGGAGGAGCTATACTTATGTTCTGTGTCTTCATTTTTCAATGTTAGTATCTTCCACTAGAACAAAGCAATCAGAGGACTTTGGAACTACAATGAAGACACCTGGCATGGATAAGCAGTCCCATACCTACAATAGCCAGAGGCGGTTCTCATTACTGTATTTGATTATAATTTTAAATGAATACTAGTTCCTTACTGAATTTTTGAAGGTTAGTAAGGGACATCAAGCATAATGCAAACACCCATGTTAAGGCTGAGCCTTGGAGTGCCCAATTACCTTTACTTACATTAATTATTACGAACAGTTGAGTTACACAGCTGGAGGTACTTTAAGCACATGCCATAGATCAGCATGCTGGATAAACTAAAAAGAACACTTTGCAACATATGTTTTCAGAACTTCACAATCGGTCTGGTCAGCTACTGACCCTAAAATCTCTTCCTATCTTTCACGGCAACATGTCCTACCTCCAGAAACAGCCCATAAAAAACACTGCAGTGGCCCCTACATCTGTTTCAATAGGTAGTTTTGTTCACATGTGTCTTTTTTCATGGGGAAGGTGAGACAACAACTCTCCCCTTAATGACTAAGCAATGGCTGTTATCAGTCCGAGGCACCCTTCACAGAAATGGTGCCTAGAATCCACTGCCTAGCATGCAGTTAGGGGAGAACTTTGAGGGAAGAATCACATCACATCCCATCCCCTGTTCCCTTGGCCCAGTCACCTGCAGTTCTGTGAATCTGGCCATGAAACTGAGGTTTTTGCTGATGTCAGCCTGCGTGGGTGAGTGCAGCTCCACTTCCCTCTCCTTCTGCTCTTGGCCTGGAAATGCATCACATGGCTCAGAAACATCCAACATTCCATAACCCTGCCCTCTCCTTTGCTCAGAGGGGCCCTTCTGCAACGAAACTGGTGTGATTCCAATGTGCAAGGAAGGAGGGACACAGTCTGCTCAAAGGGTATGTGCTCCTAGTGTTCAGAGGAACACTCCCAGTCACTTAGGGACAAATCCCTCATCTCCATGTCCAGCCCAAGTAACTCAACCATCCAGGCTGCAGGAGTGATGGGAGAGCTGTCCTATAGCTATTACTCCAACCCACAGGCTGAGGTAGGTTCTGTGGCCCTCGCACCACCTATAAATGCCTTTCTGTACTATATATAGCCCCTTTCCCCTGAAGGGGAAGCCCACATTATAATCTATAGAACTCTACTGAGTCTTACTTTTCCCATATCTGTGCTCCTCCACATTCCACAGCATGCTCTGGTGATACCCTTTGGACAACTTCTCCCCAATGATCTCCAGCTGCCGGTAGCCCCACTCAGGTAGAGATGCACCACTGAGCTGAAAAATAAAAACGAAGGCTTAAAAAAAGGCACAATCCTGCCAGGTTGTTCCTGAATTTCAGACCTATTGCGAGAGCTAAACAGACCCCACCTTAATAGGATGCCAGTGGAGCGAGTGCTCAGAAGTGACAGTGATGAATGTGGTAAAAGAGCTCAGTGGATACTGTCTCAGACACCCGTCTTAAATGTTACCTGTGAAGAGGGATTCTTAAGTATGCCTGTCCACCACCAGCCGTTAATGATGCAGCCTCCACTTCTGACCCACAGGCTGATCCTCAAATGAGCTAAGCACTTGCAACATCCAGTGGAATTATGCAGTGCTCAGTCTGTAACAGATCAAGCCATTACAGCGCTTCATTGCCATCAGAAACACAGTTCTTTCACCAGACTGATGTCAGGCCAAGCTGATAAAAATACAGGGCTTTTTCACTTTACGGAGGATTAGTTTTGGATACAGAGATTGCATGGACCCTTGGGATGATTACAAGGGAAGAGAAGACTGATGTACATAAACCCACTTACCTTCAGCACTGCTGAGGTATTCACATGGACAAACCTTACTTCAGATAAAATGGTCTTCCACACATCTGTGTCCGATTCCCGATTTACAATTTCCTGCAAGGGAGGGATGTCTTTTGATCTTTACTTTGTCTTCCCAATAGGAGAAAAACCTCCCTGCCCCTCACCCCAGTTTCCACTCACCACTCTCCAGAGGCTCTGTGCTGGCATGGAGATGTTGTAATCAACGTAACAGGAGATTTCCTGGGAGTGTGGGCTCAGAGGTGCAGCAACATCATGTCTGCAAGATCCATAAAATAAGTGTCCTGGGCTAAATTCTCTGTTCATTTCATAGGGTTATTTAATAGCTCCTCAGGGAAGTGGAGAAATTCAGCAAGCAACAAGCCAAACAACCTATTGCCACAAATCAAGCAGCACATTTGGGGAGTCAAAGAAAGGGAGAGGGCTCCTTGTTATAAAGGGCCATAAAATAGCATTGGAGGAAGCTGATTTTGCCAGCTACCATCCTTGGCAAAGCACAGGCATCTCAACTGGGGCAAACAGAAGCGTGGCTGGCATAGTAACGGTCTTCAGTGGGGTTTCTAAGAACGAACCAACTGGCATTCCTATGACCCCCTTGGGCCTGGAATGAGCACAGAGAGAACCAACACTCAGGGTTCAGATGCTCTGACTGAAGTCCATGTGGACTCTTGCCTACTACTTAAGAGACAATTTTTATAATAATGCAGCCGTACAAAACAGCCAGGTACACAGGGTGAAATTTTCAAGTGCCTACATGACTTGGGAGCACCAAGTCAGCTGAAAGACACATGCCATGAAATTCAATGGGACTTGCTGCAAAGTCAATTAGGCGCTTCTGAAAATCCCACCGAAAGTCTACTCACCCACCCTTACCATAATGGTGTGGGTGGCGCTGATGCAAAATTTAAAAAGACCTGCCTGTTGGGGGGGGGGGGTGTGGGGGAGAGAGAAGGGGGCGAATTACCCAGAGGAGTGAGCATGTAGAAATGTGCAACATTGTCACAATGTATATTGGACTAGCTGGGACCCAGGAGGTCTCTGACACTTCTAAATATACCATATATGGTCTGTCATTTGCCTTTTGCAGTTGGTCTGGCAGTAGAAGAACAATTTGTGATCCTAACCAAAAACCATTCATTCAGTGACGGACCAGTTGTATCCAGGCCTATGGCTGAGTATACTGCAAGAGCTTAAGAGTGTCTTAGGGAGAACACCAGCACTCCCTAGTGTCCCTCCATCCCTACACAGACATTTAGAGAAGCAACAAAGCAGAATGAGCCAACAGGCTGGGAGAAGCACATACGTGTTGAGGTAACGAGTTGTGATGCCGTGGACCAGTTGCACAATATGCCCATGTCGGACGGGACGTGGTGGGTTACTCACCACCAGCTGCTGCCTGCCAGAGTGACAAACCAAAAGAAATGTTTCAATTCCCCATCACAGCTAGTGCCAACTTGTGACCATTAGCTTGAAAGTCCAGAGACCAGGACAGAAGGAAGGGGGAGAAACATTTGGACAGTCAGATGAGAAATCTGAGCTTCTTTTGGGTTACAGCTGGATGCAGAGAAAGTTACTGGACATTAAGCAGAGGGAGGAACAGGCTGACTCAGGGAATCAGTAATGGGAGACAGCTTTTAGCCTCTTGGTGGCTGGTCTGAATCCAGCCTTTGTATAATACTTTCCATCCCAGAATCTCAAAGCATTTGCAAATATTCATTAAATCCTTCCAGCACCCACGAGATCCAATAGCACTATCATCCCCATTCGACAGATGGGGAACGGAGATGGAGTAGTGAAGGGACTTGCCCCAGGACACGCAGTGAGTCAGTGGCAGTGTGGGGAACACAACTTGAGATTGTGAGTCCTGACTCCCAGACCCGTGCTCAATCCAACTAGACCACAGTTACCTCTCTCAGCCTGTGGAACCCAGTACTCCTAGCTGGTGTCCAGTCCCTGTACTAATCAAGCTTAGTCCTGCTTAGCTTTTGGGATCAATTTTCATCACAGAGCTCACGTTATGGTATTTAAGCATGTTTCTTGTATACTCACATCCCAGGATCCTTAACAATCCACCAGTTATTGACATCCTTGAAGGGGTAACAAGTCACCTGCTGCTGGTGGGAGCTGCCTCGGCCATTCTCGTACCTATATGGGTAGGTAACAGGACAGAACTCTGAGGGAATGGTACATCTCTGTTCACACAGTCACAGGGAACAGAGAGGGGCCTCAGATTAAACTAGCAAGTTTCACTCAGTGACCTGGATCGGCACTACACCACTGGCTCTGTTCTTTCAAAGGCAGCTGAAGAGACAATATAGAGAGCAAAGCACAGGAGTCCCAGCACATCAGATGTAATGTAATACATATGCTGAGGCCAAGGCTTCCGAGGAGCAGAGTGCACCCAGCACTCACCGTGTTTTCTTGTTTTCCATTCCAAGGGGTGCCTGACAAGCCAATGCTTGGACCCTCTCTTCCAAGCAGTGAACTGTGCTGTCATTTCCATGGAGTGGGTTGGGCTATCAATGGCTTTGGCCAGTGCTTCGGTAAATGAATTAGGTGGAAAGATTAAAGCATGGGACTTGAATAGGGAAAAGACCTAGTAGCTTCTCTTTTCCAGCCCTCCAGGCTAATGGAGGATGCATCACTGCTGTACATTCCCCAGTGGTTTACCCTATGTAGTCTGAAACGCCAAAAACAACGGCGCTTCCACTGTTTCCCTTGGGACCACTATCCAACAATACAGGAAATCAATGGAGGTAATTTTTCTTCATTTTCTTTACATATACCCCATAATGCACCTTAAACCATTCCTCTCCCTCCTTGGTGTTTCCGTCCTTCTAATTCTTGTAGATGATTCTCTCATCCCCACAGTCACTGTTTAGGGCAATTCTACACTACAAACTTGCATTGGCACAGTTGCCTCACTTGTGATGAAGACACTCTAAGCCAACTGGAGAGCTCTCCTGTTGGCTTAGTAACTTCAGCTCCGTGAGGGGCAGGAGCTAGGTCAATGGAAGACATAACACTGTCTGCCCTGGATGTTAGGTCGGTAACTACATCACTCAAGGGTGTGCATTTCTCACACCCCTGAGTAACTAAGTGTGCAGTGTAGACCTGGCCTTAGTCAAGCTAGACTCATTTTGCTCTGATCTTAGAATCCTCTCAAGTTTGTCAGCATCAATTTGGTATTGTGATGCCCAGTATCATATGTAGTATTCTAGCTACCATGCCAAGGAGCTGTCTGAAAAGGACTGTCATCTCCTTACTCTGGGAAAAATTAATGTTTTCTATATAGGTAGCCAAAACATCGCATTGGTCTATTGGCTGCAGCATCTGATGGGAAACTCATTAATTCAGTTTTCTCTCCACTACCAAGATTTCTTTTGTAAATTACAGCTTTCCAGATACCACTTTCCCCTCTCAATGAGCTGAATATCTGCATTTCAGATTATTTCCCTACCATATATATTAGCTTCCATATGGCCAAATCAACGTGATTTTGTCTCCCCATCCAGCTTTTAAACTCTCTCTGTTTCTTTTCTCTCTACTCATTCGGCATTTGCAACGTCCCAATTGATACCCAGAAAAGTACTCTTCTTCTCAATTGCCAAGGAATATGGTAGTAACAGTGATCTCAGTTGCATCCCACTGGATGCCTTTCGCATCTCAATACAGTGCTGGTTTTCTTGATTCTTTAACCAATTTCCAGGCCATGTAACAGTGCTCACATCCCAAGCAATTAACATTTCCAAGGACGATTAGAATCATAGATTCATAGGGTTAGAAGGGACCACAAGGGTCATCTAGTCGAGTGGTTCTCAACCAGGGGTTATGCAGAGGTCTTCCAGAGGTACATCAGCTCATCTAGATATTTGCCTAGTTTTACAACAGGCTACACTAGTTGTAAAAACACTAGTGACGCCAGTACAAACTAAAATGTCATACGGACAATCACTTGTTTATACTGCTCTATATACTATACACTGACATGTAAGTACAATATTTAAATCCAATTGATTTATTTTATAATTATATGGTAAAAATGAGAAAGTCAGCAATTTTTCAGTAATAGTGTGCTGTGACTTTTTAATTTTTATGTCTGATTTTGAAAGCAAGTAGTTTTTAAGTGAGGTGAAACTTGTGGGTACGCAAGACAGATCAGACTCCTGAAAGGGGTACAGTAGTCTGGAAAGGTTGAGAGCCGCTGATCTAATCAAACCTACTGCCAAGATGCAGGACTTGTGGTGTCTAAACCATCCATGACAGATGGCTCTAGCCTCCTTTTGAAAACCTCCAGTGAAGGAGCTTCCCCAACCTCCCTAGGCAGTCTGTTCCATTGTCCTACTGTTCTTACAGGAAGGAATTTTTTTCTGAGATTTAATCTAAAACTTAATTTAATCACATCAGATAACACTGAATACACTACTGAAATCTAGAGCCCTCACATCACTACCACATTCCCTTCATCCATTCCTTTTGGAATTAGATTGTGAAAAGCAAGCCCTTTTCTTGGTCTGATCTGTTCTTTTTAAGCCCATGCTGTTTGGTGTTCTGTTACCCTGTAGGTACTTACAAATTCTCTCTTTCATAATCTGGTCTATTATTGTACTAGGGACTGAAGTGAGACTGAATCTAAAGTAATTACGAGGATTTTCCCTTCTCCCCCTACATTTTATTTCCCCTGAAAGTCTGTGGAACCTTCCCTCTTCTCAATGAGGTTGAAATTAATTGCCAATGGTTTAGTAAGTTGATTACAAAATTCTTTTAAGGATGAATCACACATTATCCTATTGTGCCTAGTATATATTTATGTTTTTCAAGCATTTCTTTACCTTGGATTCTATCAACACTTTTATAAACCAAGTCTGCTTGCTGAGGTTTAGAAATGGAGCACACCAGACTTGAACGTCAGTATTATAACTACGAACTACTCAATGGAAGTTTACACACACACACACCCCCGATGCTTTAACAGGAATATTAATGGGCTTTGTGGAGTAATAACAAGGTTTTGTATGACATGCAGTAGATAACATACCCTGAAAGCTTGATGTAAAGAGAGACTATGATGCTGCATAGACACAGACTGTGAGATCTGAATTGACAGCTCAAGAACAGGAGCACAGTTAGACCCCCACCCTTACACTCTAGTGTTACAGAACAAAACAGATTCCTCACCTGATGGGATAAGTGTTCTTGTGAGAATGGAGCCAGCATGGCATGGGTTTGCCTAAAACATTCCGCAGGGTAATCTGGGAGCCATAGGCCACCTCAAGGGGCTGGCCTTGTGTGATCCGAGCTAGCCCGCCCTAAAAGCGTAAGAAGATAATAAACCAGAGGAAAAAAACTCAGAAGCTGTTTAACTCTGAAGAGCGTCACTCACAGCTTTAATGTGTAATATAACATGTTAGTATAAGGCTTGCTGTCCTCATTACAGCTATAAAATTCAGATCCTGCAACACTATGCTCAAAGGTAATCTGGTTACAGAATGAAGCCTGCAGGATTTCAGGGTCTCAGGGAACATCCCCAAAGCAATCCTGCACCAACAATAATCTAAGGAACTATTCTATATGGGCTCTGTTCTATTCTATGTAGGTCCTTACACTGCGCTCAGCACCGCAGTCTGAGGATTAAGCAATGTGACTAACATCTGCCTCTACTGAACCTGTAGATAGAGCCCCGTAAAATAAATTTTTATAATTTTGGGGGGTTTGGGATGGAATTTCTTATTTCATTTTATCAATTCCCCCATCCACAGTTGGGCTGGTCCTGCCCCCCAGAGGTATTGGAAGAGGGTTGAGTCATGCCCCCAGGGGAGTGGGAGGCACAGGGGGAGGGTTGGGCCCTGCCTGAGGAGATAGGGAGGCCTGGGGGAGACAGGTGTTACAGAGCAAGCCTGCCCCACACTCACGCAGCAGCTCCTGTCCCTTGGAGGTGGCCCTGGCTCCCCGCTCTGGGCACTGCAAACTGACGCATGGGCTCGCAGTACCACTCATGTTTGACCCATCCACCCTGCCATCATGATGATAGGGGCCAAATCTGAGTAAGTGGCGGGACAGGAGCTGCCACTAGAGGGTGAATTTTTCATTTTTATTTCATGTTGGTTTGCATTTGCAAATAAAACAGGGCTCTATCTATAGGTGACCCACTGTGTTAGGGGCATGTTACTGATCTAGGCCTGACTAGATGGTTTCCCTCCAATTCTGAGTTTGGGTATTTTTAAAACCCCCTTGTGATTTCATTATATCATTTATTTGTGAGACTAATTCCATTGACTTCAGTAGCGTTGCTCTTATGTAAAAGAATGGGCATATTTTGTGTGGGACAGCAAAAATTGCTCTTGGTACAAAGGAAAGTCCCAGGATAGAGATGGGGACAGAGCTTTCACTTACTATTAGGACTCAGCACTTCCTCACTATTTCATCTTAAAGCCATTTTATAGCACAATAGCAGCAAGATGAGGACAAAGGAGCAAGTATTTCATGGTGCTAATTTAGTCCATTTCCACAACAGAGGGTATGTGCACGACCCATTTCCAACATCTCATTTCCATCACTCCCACTTTCCTTACCTCCAAACTGGCCTGGAAAGCACTGGTCATAATCTGGTCATGAGGTCCTGAGCGGTATAGCAAAGTCAAGTGAACGTAGAAGAAAGACAGGTACATTGCTACTGGGATGACTACTAGAGCTAGTCCCCTCGCTAGCAAATGGCACAACACAGAAACCTGGCAGAATACAAAGAACTCACTGTTACATCCTTTCAGGTAAGTCCCAGCTTTGTGTAGCTCTCCCCCACTGATAGGTAATAAGGTTAATACAGCTCAGGATCTCAAAGCACTTTACAAGTGTTATTTAATCAAGCTTCACAACATTTATTTGAAATATGGAAGGGCTGTTCATATTTTACAGATGGGGAAACTGAGGCACAGATGAAGCGACTTGCCCACAGTCATGCAGCAGAGCTGGAAAAAAGTAAGCAGATCTGCTTATTCCCCTGCTCCCTCACCCCTGTCCCAGCTATTGAGGATAACCAGGTACTTGGTTATTTTTGAAAAAGAAAAGGAAAAAAAAATTCCTCAACTTCCCTGTGGACTTACCACTGCAGACACTTTAATCACTTCTCCTGCAAGGTCAGATTGGGGTGCACAGGATACACTGAAATTGGATACGTTTTGACCTGCAGACCCTGTCAAACCATATTAAAGATGGGTAGCAGCAGGCGCAGGAGGGCAAGCCACTTCCCGTTCAGAAATACAGTTCGGCACCAGAAAAGCTACACACGTACACTTTATCTCAAACTTGACCCTGCTTTTTTCCTATAACATAGCTGGGCCATGGCTCTGCAAGCAGAGGGCTTCCAGACCATAACAGCAGGCTTAATTGTAACACACACCTAGGATTTCTTCAAGTGTTGAATTATTAGCTGATGGTTTAGAAGGCTTTTATCTTTCACCTCCTTCTCTGGATGCATGCTGTGAATGTAATTACATGCTACTTATCGAGTACATTAGGCTACCTACATTTGACAAGGTCTGGTCTCCTATCAAGTGCCAGGAGTGGACTCCAGCGATGGCCAAGAGCAGCATGTAGGTGAAAAGCCCCATGTATTTTACCCTGAGAAGACAGCACACAAAGATCAAACTGGGTTAAACATACCCAGACTATAGACAGGATTTAATGCAAGGTGTAAGTATTCAAATTCTCTCTTGAGCAAGGAGTTCCCAAGCCCAGGGACACTGGTGCTCCAGTTCTGTACGCTGGCTGAATCAGATGCTTTGTGACTTGGTCTCTGAAGTGGCTACTTGCTAATGACGAAGGCGGAAAGGCTGTTGATAACAAGGCAGCATATCACAAGGTAGAATATGGAGGGTCCCTGAACTCAGACAAACACAAAGTTGGGAGCAGGAGTTGAAATCCAGGTCTCATTTTTTAGCAGGCCCTTCTCTGATGGACGCTTGTACCAATGTATGTATTTCATTCTTTCCAGTACAACCACCACCAGTGTGTCTGTCATTGCTTTATGCGGATTGATGTCATTGGCTCATTGATTATTTCAAGGGTATTCAAAGAAGAATAAAACCTGGAGAAGCTTGCTACAGACAGCAGTGCCACAACTAGCTGCAGCATCAAGAGACAGTCTTGAAAAGCTGAGCTCTTGAGAACACAGCAAAGCAAAGGCTGAGATGGTGAACACTAAAGCACTCTGGGAGTTTAGTAAAACAACATGATAGGAGAAGTCAGTTCTTACCCAACTGCACAGGAACAAGCAACTCCAGTCAGCAAAAGCCAAAACCACCAGCCTGCAGTGAAGGGGCTTAGATAAAAGGACAAAAGGAGAGAAAACACAGTAAGATACAGGCACACAACTAGAATTCTGTTATGCTAATAGTAGTTTATATTAGGCCTCCCAGGACAGCGATTGTTATCCTTGGTCTAGGTGTGGATGTTAAACACTTCTCCTGACTCTGAAAAGTCATTCTGAGCAGCTAGAGTCTGCAAAGCTTCCAATACCACAAAAAAGCAATGGGCTAGGCCACAGGCTGGGGTAAGTTTAAAGGTTATTATTTTAAATGGGGCTCTGCAAGAATCAGAGAACACACAAAGCCGCACGAGAAGAGACAAAGATTTCTAAATTGACTCTGCGCCCATGAGCAATAACAAATGACTAATAGGGATATTTGTCACCCTCTTTATTTCTATGCACAGGGAAATTTTCCAGACCAGGAATTGGCAATGAGGGAGAAACAGCCAAGGGATTTTTTTAAATTACAAGGAAGCCAAGACAACCCCACTATCATTTAAACAACACTTTAGAACATAAGAACAGCCCTACTGGATCAGACCAAAGGTCCATCTAGTCCAGTATCCTGTCTTCCGACAGTGGCCAATGCCAGGTGCTCCAGAGGGAATGAACAGAACAGGTAATCATCAAGTGATCCTTATCCCTGTCGCTCATTCCCAGCTTCTGGCAAACAGAGGCTAGGGACACCATCCCTGCCCATCCTGCCTAATAGCCATTGATGGACCTATCCTCCATGAATTTATCTAGTTCTTTTCTGAACCCTGTTATGGTCTTGGCCTTCACAACATCATCTGGCAAGCAGTTCCACAGGTTGACTGTGCACTGTGTGAAGAAATATTTCATTTTGTTTGTTTTAAACTTGCTGCCTCTTAATTTCGTTTGGTGACCCCTAGCTCGTGTTATGAGGAATAAATAACACTTCCTTATGTACTTTCTCTACAGCAGTCATGACTTTACAGACCTCAATCATATCGCCCCTTTAGTCGTCTCTTTTCCAAGCTGAAAAGTCCCAGTCTTATTAATCTCTCCTCACACAGAAGCCGTTCCATACCCCTAATAATTTGTTGCCCTTTTCTGAACCTTTTCCACTGCCAATATAGATTTAAACCTTAAAATTGCTTGGAAGATAAAATCCTTCCAACATCACTATGAGTGGTCAAGTATCATTATCCCCATTTTACTGAGGTGCAGAGAAATGAAGTGACTTGCCCAAGGCACAGCTACGATTAGTTAAGGATTCTTGCCTCCCCAGCCTGAATTTGGACCACTAGCTCACAACGCAAATAAGGCTTGCAGTACACCACACACAAGATTATTATAATTGGTGCCAGATTGCCATATAGATAAATACATTAAAGGCTATTAAAAAAAACCCAAGAGGCACAAATGTTTTATACTTAAATGATGAATGGCTTATTACAACTAACTGGAAGGTTATCGAGGGCCCAGGAATGAAAACCAGCTGTACCTGCACTTCTGTAAATTGTAGAACTTCAGGTAGGACAAAATTGCAAGCAGGATAAAAAAGATTAGTACTGATTCCAAGAGCATCAGCCTGGATTGAGTGATCAGCGAGTTCTCTGTTAGAAACAGAAGGAGAAGATATATACACACCAAATTAGGCATAAATTATTGGTAGGAAAACTGTCAAGCAATACTCATGGCAGCAATAATACCATCAACAATAAGGACTTCTAAAGACATGATCAACTGAGAATCAAAGAAACATTTCCAAAGAAAGCAAAACAAAGGTCTTTTCACAGTATTATAAGCCTGAGATGAGAAAGAGCCATACTCTGTGTTTGAGAAACCTTTCAAGCATGGGAAATGGCAGATGGGTGAGGGGAAGAAGAAAAGATTTGCTGAAATCTAAAGCTGAGGTATGGCCCTTCTGTCCTGCACACTCATTCCCAGTATATTACAGAAATCTGAGGAAGAGCTTGCAGAGGCTCCTCAAAGGCAAAGAAATAAAGCTGCCTGCATGGCTGTGAGATTCCCTGTGTCGAACCTTCCTCTTTCTTCAATAATAGAGAGACCTAGTAGTGTCCATTTAGAAGCAGGGCTGGAACCGCAGGCTGTGCTGCAGGTCAGGATTGAAGTGCATGGGAAGAGCTGTGAGTGGGGCTCAGGACTGAATAGTAGGATATGCTGATCAGGATTGATGCATTGTCAGAGCTGTGTGGGAGAAGCTACTGCAGCACCCACTTCCCTAACTCTCAGCACTGCTTTACTAACTGCCACTAAAAAGTCACCGTAGAAGAATTTTTAGGGGAAAGCAGATCATTCCCCCTCTGGATGGAGAGTAAGGCTGAAGGCACAGTCCTTACCAAAGAGGATCAGGAGGGCAGCTACAAACGCGGCACAATGGGAGAAGTGCAGCTCTACCAAAATCTGGTACGCTAAAGGCACACACAGGGCACCAGTTAGCGCTGGCAGCAATCGCAAGGACCACACTGGCACGTTCATACTGTACTCTAGAACAGAAAACAGTGTGAGGACAAGAGCATTAGAAGCCTTTGCTTATTGTATCGGTGTTTGCAGGGAGAATAGAATTTGGTTTCATACAGCTCTTCTCAGACTCAAGGTATCTCCCCATGTTGTCTTTAAACAGAGCAAAGATATTACAGCTAAGACTACAGCTCCATCCTGCAATTTCTTTTACTCTCAGTTAGGGAACATTAGAACCTAATTATCTGAAGTAACGTAGGCTAATAATAATAAGCCTTCACATTTATACAGTGCTTTCATCTGTAGACTTCAAAGGGCTTCAGAAATTGGGCAAGTATCATTGTTCCCCTTTTTAAAGACAGGTAAAGTGAAGCATGACGTTCAGAAAAAATGAGTCTCCACAACTCGAAAAGAAATCACTGGGAGCTGTGGATACTCAGCACCTCTGAAAACCAGGCAAATGGGACTTGCACAAGGTGTCACACAAAGTCAGTCTGAGAGCTGGGAGGTGACTTGATTCCCAGTCCCATTAGCCTATCCTCTGGACTATGCTGCCTTCTATAATTACTCCCTACTCTCCTCTGTGCTATGGGATCTTTAGCATCTTCTGAAACATTCGCTGCAGTCATACAGAAGACTTTGATGTAACATCTCTTCTGAAGAAACATCACCAAGATCAAGTAAACAAACTAAACAAAAACAAAAAACCCTCTGCTTCTATTAGTGACTAAAACATCATCGATAAGCTCTGAAATGCACCTCTATTCTGTTGGAAGAATGAGCCACTGTTAAAAACAGCTCTTACCAGCCCCAATTCTGTTCCACAAGAAGTTTCCATCAAAGCCTCCTAAGTAACCTGAAAAAGAACAGCAGCAGATATGGCTGGAGTGAGTGGCACATGGAAATGGGTGATAAAATGTTGAAGATTAATTAAAAACCAAATCTCTATGGAGAGTAATCAGAGTTAGCCTCCCACTGCATCCCCACGAGTGCCTCCTCAGTATTTTTATACTCGGACCACTTTCTGAAGACAGTGTCTTATGGACTCTCTCTCCCAGACACACATCTCCCTTGCAACAGTGTTTTATTACATGAAAAAGTTACCTTAGGATAGCATGCAGGAGACAATAGGAAAATAAACCACACACTGACATGAAAGGGGCAACTGCTTAGTTAATCCCCCCCCCATTTTATATTGTCCCTTTCCTCTCCCTGGACTTCACACTTTTGGGGCCTGAATCTTCTCGTTGCCTACTATTCCCAGTGCTCTAAGCTCTCCAGGTCATTGTACAGTTTGGTTCGGTCCTCCTGTTTGTCTGGGAGTAAGATAAAAGTGTGGGTGAAACGTCCATCATAATAGGGAAATGGGTAGGGGTCATGGCAAATAGTACACATGCAGAGTTACACCACTTTCCCCCCTCCTGCACCTCAAGCCACTAGCCCAAAATCCATGTGGTCATTCTAAAGCAAATGAAATCAGCAAGGTCTCTGTGGAAGAAATTCTGCCCTATCCCTTCTCCACAAGGATAGAATTTGAGAACTGAAACCATATCTGCAACCTGTTCCTCTTTCCCCAAAGCAACGAGCAATAAATGCTTCCTAAATTAAAGTTCAATGGAGTCCCTACCTCCAAAAGCTAGCAGCATGTGGCCAAATGGCGGGCCACTATCATCCACAAAAAAGATCCGCTTCATGTACAGAGACACAAACTGGCCATAGTAAACTTCATCAAAACTGAAACACCACAGAGAAAGAAATGTGTCAAGTCTAACTGGAAACATCTCACAACGCACCCCCCCATACCTTAGTGATGGGGACATTAACTGACTCCTCCTTTAGCAATCTCAGCAGGAGGACTGAATGGAGCATAGAGATTTAGCATCCCTTTCACTCCTCTAGGTCAGGGTTGAGGCATGCTGGTGAGGATGCTTGCATTGCTATTGCATGTGCTGAATCCATACCAGGGATGCAAGTATCCTGAGTCAGCAACCCAGAACCTATCATCACCATTACATACTCACTTGCAAACTTTAAAAAAAAATCACAGGTATTTTAAGTAGGAAGTGAAGCACTGTGCTTACACCACAGCCCGTGGGTAGGAGAGCGCCCAGAGCCGGTTTACTAATCCCATCACAGTCAGAGCCACCAGATTCACATTGATCTCTGCAGTGACCACAACAGGCTGCTTCAGGAATTCCAACATCCTGCAGAATGGTTTGTTCAAGCCTCTGAAAGCAAAGTGGGAGAAGAAAACAGCTGCAGTTACCATTCAGATCAGAAGTGAGTCACTTATCTAAGGCACTGCCAGCAATTTAGGACAGCAGCATCTCCAGTATTCTCTTTTCCAATCTGCAAGTGAAGTATTTTCTATATGCAACCTGTGCAACAATAATCCTAAAATGCTGCTCTACTCTAATAAGTGTCTACCTAAAAATGGCAGATACCGTTTCAGTCTGCTTCCACGCATACAGTCATTATTACCTGTCCTTACTAGTTTCATATATTTTCCCTATTTCTAACTCATTAGCCCTGCAGAGCCAACACAACTCAGCTCAAGGAGAGACTTCTGGATACTTACCCTGTTTCATGCATCACCAGCAGCATGACTGTAAAAGTAAATTTCATACTCAGACGCTTTATTGCTGATTAAGCGTGATCCAGCCTCTCCGACCTGGGGCGGAGTCGACCGTCCGGGCACTTAGTGTGGACGCTTGCAGACGGAGGAAATTTGCTCCGGACACAGAGGCACAACAAACATGAACCGTGTGGTGCCATTTTTGGAGAGTCAATCAGACACGTTGATGAGGGGACTTTATTGCAGTCCCGAGAGGAAACAAACCGAGTGCTTGTGCAGAACACCCATGAAATGAGGCAACAGCCCTGGAGGCCCGGCGAAGGGCTGGGGGCAGTGCCCGGAGAGAGCGAGACAAGGGCGGGGTTGGTGCTCACCTCAATACACTGAGAGATCCGTGTGCGTCCCTTCCGCCTGGGGCGAGAGACTAGGCCCGAAACAACCGCCAGCCCCACAGGCCGCGCCGCCAGGCCGGTATTTCCCCAGCCTGCGTCCGGCAGAGCCGAGGCCCATGCTCACGCCTGGCGGGCCGGCCCCGGGTCGCTCCCAGGCTGGCGGGGACACCCCACAAGCGGGAATCTGGGTGGCGGGGCCACCACCCCCTCACCGCTCCCCCCCCCTCGGCCGCGCGCGCCGCGCTGAGGAGAGCCCCAGCCCGCTAAGCCCTCGGCTCGGGCAGGAGCGCGCGCCCGCGTCACCCGCCCCGGCGCCGCGCCCCACCTCCCAGGCTCGGGTCCGCCCCCCGACGGCAGACCAATCACAGCCCCCGGCTCCCCGAAAAGCAGGCGCAGCCTCCCCGCCCCAGTGCGCAGCTGCGGCCAAGGGAGAGGGCGGGGCCACCGTCAGTGGTCACGGGATCCGGAAGCTGCCGTGCGTAATCTCCCGGCGTAACGTCAGAGGCACAGCGGAAATGCCCAGTTGCCATAGCAGCAACCTGGAGGCGTGGGAGGGCAGGAGTCGCAAATGCAAATTTCAGCCGCTAAGCCCCGGCCGGGTGGCTCCATCGTCCACGTAGTAAAGCCGCACCGGGGGCAGGAGGAGTGGATTCGGTTTCACACGGGGAGAAACGGAGGCACAGAGGCGAAGCTGCTTCCTGGCGTCAGATGGCTAGTTCGTGGTAGGAAATTTTATCAGCATTTCCCTACACGGTCATGGCTCTTACTGCTGGAGGGAGGCAGGCACCTGTAGGCCCCCGTGGTGTTTACATTACAGCTTCCATGGAGGGAGCCGTACTCTGCAGAAAAACAGCACAGGCCGAAGTAGTTCTGCAACAGGGGCTTACAATCTTCTGGTTAGTCTATACGTGAAGGACTGTAGTCCTTAGCCTGTACAATACCTAGCACAAGGGGGCGTTAGGTATCACAATGATAGAAATAAGCTATTAGAAACAATAGGAATTGTGTGTACTGTAAGCCATTAGGAAAGGCAAAAACATCTGTTTAGTTAGGGTAGAGAATGCAAAGTGTAGCATTAAGTGTTCAGAGAGCATGGTAATAGACACACTATAAAAACCTAGCTAATAAATCTCTTCCTAAAAATATAAACCAAACAAAATCACACAGGGAATTTGAGAAAAGCATAATCTGCTTTATTTTTTTTTTAACTTTTTTATTTAAATAAGGAGAATTCTTTCATATGGAAAGAGCTAATACAATCACATATTTGAAAGGAGAAACAAAAGGTATGGAAAAGAAGGAAAAAGGGCAATAAAGAGTGTGCCACCACTGGCCTGGTGATTTCGTGATTTGAGTTCTGGTCCAAGTTAAAGTTTCCAAAAAATATAAACAGGTTGCACATTACACATTTATCCATCGTCTGCCCTTTCAAATATCTGGTCTACATGAAAAGACAAAGAGGAAAGGCCAAAAAAATTTTACTACACAGGTCATGAGGTTATAAGCTTTAAGGAGTACAATATCCCCTTTAGAAACAATGAATGCAATTGATACAGAATCAGAGAAAGGATTCCAAATAAGGACAATGCCTTGACATGCTAAAGAATGAGTGCCTCCACGGCTGCTGCTGTGATTCCCAGAACTACCGGTTAGCTATTGCCTGCAGACATCTTGAGGTGCTAGGGACAAATCGTTAAATCCAAGAGATTCTCTATGTCACTTGGGATGTCTTGGTGGCCTTTGGATTTAAAAAAAAAAAAAAAAAATCCAAAAATACATAGTTGGACTGGCTCTGCCTCTTCACACAGCCAGTAGTTCCATTGCTTTAGTAACTGTTCATCTCTTAGTTTTGGGCCACAACTACATTACAAGGATTCTGCTTGTTATTGTAAATATAATTCTTACTCATAAGAGAAATCTTTCATACAAGGAAACTGGGGGTGGTCTGCCAAAAATAGCTGACATTCCAAAAAATTAACCTGTGCTTAACCAGTCAGGAGCAAAACAGAAGAAGGATAACAATGCAACAGAACAGTTCTTAGCATGGAGTGGTGCTCGTTTAAAAGTGAATATAGTAGCCTGCCAAAAAGTGAGACATAGCAGAAATGCTAAGCTCTGTTTTTATATATCTATATAAATATACATGAACCACAGGGCAGCTTGTAGCTTTGCAGCATTCTCGCATGGAAATCTGTTAAATGGTGTGCCTCTCTGCATGTACACAAACACATATGAGATTCAATGGGCTGAGAACACATTCAGTTACTGAATGCTGTACAGTTGTCAAATGGGAAAGCCAACAGTGAATTATGAAAGATCAACACCACCACCTGCTTCACTGGTGACTGTGCTGATTTAACCTTTCATTTAAAATGTACAGGGCATCTTTTTCAAAACTCACGTTAATTTTTGTAATTGAGAGCTAAAAGCAGACTGAACACAGAGGAAAGCAGGTAGCACTGAATGCAGCTGACAGGCCAGTACTCACTGTGCACAATAGGATAATATTTACCCAAATACATGCTTCAGGCTTTCCGCTAAACAGTCTGGTTAAACTGCAGAACACAGTCAGCCTCTGAATACTTCTGCTTAACCCACTGTTGTGAGAGTATGGATTCCACCTCTCCCTCCCACTGCATACTGTATCTGTTTGGCAGCCAGTCTGCAGATAAAGCAAATTTCAGCAGCAAAGAAGTCATTATGGGGCCCCACATTTCAGCAGTGGAGATGGCAAGTAGAAGTAACGACCTATAAATCCATCAACATTCCATGCATCTCCAACCTCTCCCTCCCAAAGATGAATTGGCATAGGGCCCAGAGACCTTTACATTTCTGTACCTTGAGGACTGGAGACAGTTCCATTTATTTGACTCCAAGAGCATCACAGACTGCACTAACCCTGTACTAGCTCTAACAAACAACATAGCAGAGAAGTTAAAACTTCGGGCTCTAAAACTGCTTTCCATCAGACAAAAATCCATAAAGTGAAAGAGTCTTGTAAACCGCAGCTGACAGTTACGCAAAGATGATGAATGGAATGAAGGTCTCATGCATTTCTTGGCCTTTCCTGCACAGAATAATTCAGACATAATATATAAATAGAGCAGTGAAACATTTACTTTTTCACCTAGACCTACAACATCAAATACATATAAATAAATTTTAGTGTTTTATTCTGTTTGGGGATGAAGGGGGTAAAGGAGAAAGAGGGATGACCTTTTTCAACAGGAAGTACTATAATTCTGATGGCATTTACACCAGAGGGACTGAAACATCTCATATCTAGCAATAACCTGATTTCTCCAACACATAGGACCATTCAAGAGGTCTTATAGGATGAAGGAAAAAGGTCTGAGTCTTTGAAAAGACTAAATAGTGTGTCTAGGGGTGGAAGGAAAGAGAAGAGAGGTTTGGATAAGTCTTTAGCCATTAGACTCCAGTCTGATATTACCTTGGGCCAGCTGGGCAAAGAATGTGGGGGGCAGGGAGGACAGGAGGGCCCCACAATGTAATAAAGACATTTTAGCCAATTCAGTTGCTCACAATATTTCAAGGTGAAGGTGGGGAGGGAGACAGGGATAGAAGGGGGCTGGATGACTCACTGGTGGAGGAGCCTTTGGAAAATGTCGGGAGCAGGAATGAAGACTAGCAGATGAGAAAACAAGTTTAGGAGATTTCTGAAGGCTCTGTGTGTCATTAATTCTCAAGGTCTGTACTTTGTAGAGTGCTAGAGATATGGTGACACACTGCTGTAATGTTAAAAATCCACAAAATTAAAAAGAAAGTTCTGTTTTTTTTTGTTTTTGTTTTTTTTTAAGTACCAACCTGTCCCAATCCCTTCAGGGTTCTTTACCATGCTCTGAGGGGACATTACTAAGTCTAAGTTAGTTCAGGTGTCTAAACTCTTTCTAATGTTATTGTAAAACCTGATTTATACCTAGCTTAAAACTTCAAATGCATCTCTAGAAAATCCTGGAGAACCTTCTCTTCTGAAAAAACACTTTCAGACGACTTCCCAATTACATTCTTTGTTCAAAATGTCTTCTTTGGAAGCACCAGCAATATACCTGCTGCCATCTAGCATAGGTAGATGGTACAGTCAGTAAGCTATCATCTACCAGAGAAGTGACATTCTCCTTCCCTAATTTCAGAGTAACAGAGTCCACTCTTTGTTTTTTAAAAGCTAAATAGTACAAACAAGTTAGCTGGAGGTGGTTCAGTTTACTTAAGACCAATATCAGCTTTAACCCAAGCACCTTCAGGAACTGGCAAGTCAGTCCTGTAAGATAGATAGATAGATACACAACACCCAATCAAAACAAAAAAAAACCAAAACACAACCTCCAAAACTCTTCCCGTTGGGACCTTTTTTTGACATGCCCCCAAATTCTTTTGAGGAAGTGCATACCCACTGGATACAACTGCACCAAAAGGAGAGAACCACTTCTTGTTAGTCTGGGGAAGGAGAGAACACAGGGATGAATCAAAACTGCCTCTATGTAACCATATGCATCTGATGCAAAAAAAAGAACTGAATTTTTGTACAATGACTGGGGTTCCCACTGGTTTGTGTCCATGGGAGTTGTGCAAAAAGCTGTGAAGATGAGAAAGAAGCAGAGAGCAAGACCTGGAGAAGTAGGGGGAGAGAAGCTCAGAGACCAGCCCTTGGGGAAACAGAGCAGCCCCATGAGGCAAGGAGGCAAGAATTAGAGCGGCCAAGGGTGGAGCATAGAGAGAGCATCACAACTACAAAAAGTAGTCCAAATGGACCTGTTGGCTCTAACCAACTCTTCTGACCCATGCAAGGTGTGGAGATTCATTAACAGATTTTACGTTTTGTAAATCCATGATTTACCTTTTGCTGTACATTTGGCAGTCTCCAAAACAAAACCCAACCCACAAAAACAACTAGATCCAAATGAGCTTGCAACAGAAATTCAGTGCCTTTCCTTAAAACAAAAATGCCACATTTTGTTGTGCACAGGGCACCCCAAAGCTACAGTTAAGTGGTGCAAGTTTCAAGATTAATGCATTGATCTACTATATACCTGTGTTACACATTTACTTCTAAAGCAAGCACTGCTTCTAGCTTAAAACCAAAATACTGAAAAATTACTGAATGCCTTAACTGTCCTGTATTTCTCTTAATCAAATAATCTGGATGGCTAAACCTCCTGTGGGGAGAGCACCCAAGCAATTCAATTTAAGAGAGTCACAACTGTCAATGTAGCACAGAACTGTAGATAAAATTAAGCAGTTCTGTCTCAGAAC